ACAGCGTGAATCAACTCACCAAAGTTTTGTAGACATTTCAATTAAAGATTTCGCAACTCTACAGATTCTAGATGGCAAGGCAGGCTAAATTAAGTACGAGAAACTTTACGTACACTTCTTTCCAAATGCCACCATGGTTACCTTTGTTATACGTCAGCGTTATGACGCCCTCTATAAATCTGATTAATTAGGGCTTTACAACTAACATTAGCACCCCTTCAGGTTTGTAGCCCTTGACAAGGTACAATGAAGCTAAGCTAGGTCTGCTGTAGTTAACTTGGTTTACTTGGTTATTATTATAATACGATTGTGAGCTACATTCTTGTTTTCCTCCAATCCAGTTGAATTTTTGTTTCTGAAGGATGGATGTAGTGCCTAGGCCCTAGGCTAGCATATTTTAATATTATGCATATAATCAAACATATGGATAGGATCTGTTTGATTTAAACTCCAAGTAGAAGGTTCTTCCTGGAATTAAGACTTGTATATACAACAACTAGACTATCTGAAGTGAAAGTTTATTGATTAATCAAACATTAATATTAAATAATATTATAAAGAAACCATAAAACCAGCATTTGGTTTTGAGATAGATTGGCTTATGTATGGTATATCAGGTAGTGTAGGCATTTTCATCTTGATTTTTGTGGTCTTAATGAACTTTTTTCTTTGTTAAATATAGCAATGTCAGATTTGAACCACTCAACACTTAAAACACAGACGAATTACATCAGACACCTGGAGTTGTAAATGATGCATTTCAGGAATTCGACCAGGAACTACCTGATTTTAGGACAATGTTCTCAAGTGATGGTTTTTGTTTCATTTTTCATTGTAAGCCAACAGATATCAGGTGAGTACAGTGCCTAATGTTTAAAAATAAATACTAATTTTAAAGACAAAAATGACAACTCTTCTAAAAAATAATGTTAATGTGATAATATTTTCATATTTTGATTTGTAGGTGCTGTGGTTACATCTCTGGAGCCATCTCCATCCATCACTAATAGAGACCAACTGCAAACATCAATGTTTTCATCTTTTTCGATGTCATCTTTGTATTTGAAATCTGAAGTATATGACTCAGATGAAAGAGATGAGTATCTGTCAACCCCAATCCTGAAGATTCACTCTTCAGCCTTGGAGCTGACGTCCATAGCGTTGAGTCCTGACTTGTTATCTACAGTCCAACTGCAGACAGGTGACACATCAGATGTAAAGCTTTCTTTGCAAATGCAAGAAACTAGCTCATTGCTAATGCAAGGGGTTGCTACACATTCAAGTGTACCATTATCAACTAAAATTTACCAATCAGTATCGTTAACATCACCATCAGCCGATAGATTAGAACAACTGTCATTGGCTGCATCCGAGAGCCTGTCCTTATTTAATCTGCCACCCTTTAGTGAGTCACCGCTTTCTCTTGCAGCAACGATGTCTGATGTTTTAGGACAACCAAGTTCTGTGTTTTCATCAATAAAGCAACAATCATATGCTGAGACAATCAATCCACACTCAACACTTGAAATGACTATCTTCAGTACATCACAACTGGAACCAACAGAGTCTGTAGCTGAAACAATGGTACATGAAACCTTAATAAGTAACCAGGAATACACTAAGATTCCAAATACAGAAAAAATAAATACTGATATCTTCAGTTCAGCTGACATTAATATTGCAACACTTGAAGTGACATTAAATGATGTAGTTAAGTTATCGTCATCATCATTGCAATTAAAACCTTCAAATGAATTGACAACTGATTTCCCAGAGTTTGGTGAGACTACCACAGATTTCAACCAAGAATTATTGAATACTGTTATTAGCACTGGTAGCATGAAAGTGATGGACTCCAGTGATGCTATGACTTTTATTAGTTTTGAAGATGAATTACCAGCTAGTACTGTTGGAATAATACAACCAACCACACCGTTTGAGTTTGAAGTATCCACTGACATTTATACAGAAATGATGTATAGTAGCCTGATGTCCTCAAGATTAGGATCTCTTGATGTTATGAGTGCCACCTCTGAAATGTTATTATCAGAGGCATTTGATGATACTTTAGAGAGGTCAACATTGAAATTGCTACAAACACAAGTGTTGCAGTCATCTGAAGGGGAGGATGATTTCATGACACATGTAGAGTTGTCTATGGATTATACAGCAAATACCATGAATGTTGAGTTGAGCTCATTTACAATATCTGAACTCAGTTCAGCATCTTATTCTACAAATGAGTACAGTATCTCTTTAACTTTCGGGAATGGCGGTAGTTCAAGAGCTGTGTACTCACAAGAAAGTATTTTTGAGATGACAAGGACACTTGAGGAACCAGTTTCATCTTCAGAATTCCTGACACCATCCATGATTTCAGTTGCAACTCAATTTAGCCAATCTATAGAAACAAGCTATGTTATGCAAGAATCACTAACTTCAAAGGAACCTGAACCTGTTATAATGTGTTTTACCACCGTAATGACATTACCTAATTCAGTGGCAACATTACAGCAACCCAGTGATACAAGTTATGCTCCACCGGACATGACATCATGGTCAGTGAAAATGAAAAATTCAGTGCAAGAGAGCTTGTATGAAATCCCAACACAAAGTTGGTCTTTGAGAAGTCATCAGTACTCAACAGAAATATATTCATCTGAGCAGGCTCTAAACTCAGAAATGACAGATTTTAGAATAAGCAGCCAACCAATGCTATCTACAATCAATAATAATTTTGCTACTAAACTTTTTTCAAATCCTACAGAAGTTGGAGACAGTTTAACAAATTCAATTTTTCAATCATCGAATTGGAAAACATCAGTATTTTCAGAAAATTCTACATTGCAATTGTTTGATTTTAGTCACTTTCCATCATCTGTAGCTTCAACCAGCGTAATCAGGGAGGGCATTGAAATAACTACCAACACAGCAGCTGATCTTTCAATTTTTACTTTTATTCAACCTAATGCATCCATTTCTGTTGAATCAACATTATCATCATCTTTGATTTTGCCAGAGACCGTTGATAAGTCAGACCTGTCAAATGTGCAGACTTCAGCAAGTATACCACATGAATCCCTCAGCTATCAAACATTATCTGATGTAATTTATACTTCAGATTTTGATAACTTAAATATTTATAGTACTGTTAATGGTGTATTCAAAGATGAGACAGCAATTGAGACAGAAAGCAGGATAATTACATTATCAGTGTTGACCAATAGCCAGGAGGCACATAATATCAGGAAGCGGGCTGCTCTTGAATTAGAATTTTCATCCCCACAGACTAATACAGAACAATTTCAGAACCAGTTGATGTCAAATACTATGGCTCCTTCTGTATCTTCCAGTGTTTTAAGCAATATATTTATTCAAGATATTACACAGTTAGTGAAGTCTTCTGAAATTGATTTATTTAGTACTTCAGGAGCCATTCAACCTTCTGAGATATCTGATGTTCCATTGTCATTTGATACATCTTTCTCATTTTCATTGTATGGTTCTCAGGCAACCTCCACTGTAACTGGATCATTTCAGAGCTCTGATGAGATATCTAATACTCCAAGTTTACTGTATAGTTCTTTTGGCAACATTAATGTTCTTGGGTCATTGTACAGTTATATTGAGACCACTGTACTAGAATTAATACAGAGTTCATTTGAAACCTCAACAGAGTCCCAACTCATGTGGTTTCTATCTGACACTAATATATTAAGTTCTCAAATACTAAATACTGGTCAAGATTTTGTAACATCTACTTTAAGTGGAGTAACAAATGTATCTGATATATCACTTGACAGTTCTTTTGAGACAACTGTGTTAGACTTACCACAGAGTCCATCTGAAACCCAATATTTTACGGAGCCCCAGTTCATGTTGTTTCCATCTGACATTAGTATATTGAGTTCTCAAATATTTATTACTGGTCAGGATTTTGTAACATCTACTTCAAGTGGAGTGACAAGTGAATCTGACATATCATTCGATCATTTTCAAAACACAACCACTGATCCTTTTCTGGCTGCTACAGAATTTGAAGTTATTAGTATAATTACTATGCTATCTGTGGATCCTACAGCAAACGTGGAGCTTGATGAATACTCTGTCTATAGTACCACAATCCTGGAACCTACAGGTGTTGACACACCACCATCAGTGATGATACGGAATAGTAGTGTTCTCTCGGAAGCATCAAACTTAAGTGATGGCTATGCTACCAACATGACATTTATAGCTTCAACTGTAACCAGTTTTACCAGCACAAACATACAGGCAGTATTCAGTAGTAGTAGTAGTAGTATGTTACAAATATCAAGTATAGGTGATGACTATGCTAGCTTGATGACTGTAGCCTCCACTTCAGTAAATTTCACTGGCACAACCACACAGCCAACAATTTCTGAGATGCCATCCATGAATAGTACCAGTCTTTTAGAAATATCAAGCACAAACAATTATAGTACATTGATGTCTATGACCTCCATCCCATTAAATGTACTTACAACATCTCAATATCAGGAGGAGACGTTTACTTACATTTCATGTACGACAATATATCCATCTGCTATGCTGGAAACATTAACACCAACTGTTACCATTTCACAAGTTAGTGAATCTACAAGTTCTAGGTATTTTAGTACTCAAGTTTCTGATATTCCAGATTTTGTAACTAGTTATATGACATCAACCTTAGAAGAAGACGACTTTGAGACAATTACTTTAGAACCATCAACTTTTGAAACAGTCTTGTCCACAATAATGATTTCTGAATCAGATTATAGTGTCGCTTCTCTTTCTGAAGTAAATACACCATCACAAGATTTTGCTTCACTTGAAATTTCAAGTTCTGTAACACAATTATTTAGTATGTCTACTTCACCAATGTCTGAATTAATTGAAAACACTGAGGCTGAGACCACCCCGTTAGATTCAACATATGTATTTACTGTGTCGGAATCTCACTTACCTTCATCTCTGGATGTGCAGAGTAGTCTTGAAGAACTATCATATAGCCTGGAGTATACTTCTAATATTCCGAAGATAAGTGAGGTGCCCCCAGTACTGACCATCTCACCAACACCATCAAGTGCACCAGAACAATCAAAAACAACCAGTATGTATTCTTCAATACATCCAAGTTCACCAGTTACAACTCCTACAAGTACTAAACCTCCAGTGGATGTCATCACAACTGGTACCACAAAGGAGCCTTATGTTTCGTTGGACACATCATTTGTTACACAGCCTTCATGGCTGGAACTGGGTATGTATTATTATATTTTATTAGTAATTATAATAATAATAAATTGAGATTAAAGCATGATACATAATGAAAATATTTAGAGATGTATTATTTCTTGTATGTTGTAGAAATTAACGTCCCTACCTCAGTAGACACCAAGTCAATAGAATTCATTCTGGACATTGAGGGCAGGCTTGCATCAGCATACATTCAAGCTAGAGCCAAGGTGCAAGGATCGTCAAGGAGACGAAGAGCTGTCGCTGTTGATGAAATTACAGTTCAGGTTATATTTTACATGATAATTTTAGAAAATACCTCAAGTTTGTAATTTGTAATCATGTATATAAAATGTCATGTACAATACTGTCCATTTTTAATGCCATAATAAGTAATGTTGATGTGGATCATATTTACAAATGCAATGCATAAACTGAAAAGTAGTTTTGGGAAATAGTGGGCCAAGTATGACACTCTTATTGAAGACTAGAAGCTTATTCTTCAATAATCCATCAATTCTTTTAAAAATGTTTCTTGATATATACCAAAAGCTTACTCCAGTATAGTTTACCCCATTATCGATGTAATGATCTGATACTATAGTTTTTGTGTTGTTCTTTATAAGATTGTTAATGAAAGCTTATTAATATTTCAGCATATTGACATCAGTAGAACAGACAGCAATTCAGAGGCACTGTCTGTTGTGTACTACATCGTAGAAGGAGGTGAACGAATACCTGCCGCTGAGTCTGCTGCCACCATGCAACAGCTATCTACCGAGGCACTTTCAATTGTATTGGGCTACCCCGTTGCTACACAAGTTACAGGTAAAGTTAAAACCAATGCTACCTTCTATACCTGTCAACAGATTTTGTATGATGTATGGTATGATGTTTAGTATGCTATATCATAGTTTATTGAAGATTGTGCCTTGGTTGTTAAGTATGTTTTGCAATGCTTATGCTTTCATTCCAAAGGCACTGGACAGTGGAGGCTCTAAAGCTCTGTCCAGACTTTGATTAAAAATTGTTTTATGCCCATATATAGTCATGATGTGCCTATATATGGTCATGATGTGATATCATCATTACCATATTTAGGCATGTCACATGTTTTTGTTAAATAAAATTTGATAGTCTGGACATGCCTTAAGATATACATTGAGGGGGCTAAGCTGTCTGACAGGAGGGTCTAAAAATTTCCAGGAGAGCTCAGCCAGATCCAGACACAAAGCCGTTGTGGGGTCCAAGGGCTTAGCCCATTGCTTTGATGCTATATCTGCCCCCTCCTGCTGGTGTCGTCATTGATCCTGCATTCAATCATGTCAAAAAACTTCCAAACTTATGAAGAGGATTGAAGAATCATGCAATGAGATTCCAGAATGACCAGTTTTTACTCAATGTATCATTCGTAGTTGACCTTATAATTCTTATTTATTGTTAACTGTAGAAATGTAATGTAAACACGGTATTGTGCTTTTGTTTTAGTGTATGGTCAGTCTTCTAGCCCAGCAAGTAAGATTTGGATTGCAGCTGTGGTGTTGGGTGTTCTTGCATTCATATTTTTGACTTTCTGTTGCTTTTGCTGGTGCTGTAGGCCTAAGTCTCGTGATGGTAACTTTGACCCAGAGACTTTGAAATTTCTTCAGTTCAAGCAAAAAGTAAATTACCTTATAGCCTTTTAAGTTGTTGTGTTTAAATTCTAAAAGTTCATTTTTTTAATAGAATTCATCAAATACAAGGCAAAAAGCCAGTCTAGGTATAGGCTAGGAAAAAATAGTAAAAAACTAAAATATTCGGATCCAATCAAACAAACTTTAAAGAACTATATATAAAAATGTTGATTTGTATTAGTTCCAATGAATGGTCAGTTTTCCTTTTTAAATGTATGTATAAATTATAATGTTGGCCTTATTTAATTTGTGTTAACCCTTGTGATAATTTTGTATTGATATTTTTTGTTCTTTATCATAAAAATTAATATTATTATTAATGTAATATTATTATTGATTACTTTTCTATAATTTATGAAATAAATGAGTATATTCTGATTTTAATGAAGAATCAGAATTATGATATATTAGATGGTAAAATAAATAATTATTTTGTTTGTTTTTAGTATCCTTACCATTCATACGCTGCAAGTAAGAGGAGATGGGCTGCATCATCTCCTGCAGCTCTAGATCACTCACAGGGTCAGTTTATTGAAGATGAAAGGTCTGTGAAGACTTCGGACTATCACACCGATGACGATGATAGTGTAAGGGTTAAGGACAAGAGGCGCCTTCCAGCTCCACCAAGAATTCCATCTCGTTCAAAGACACCGATATCGCGGCAGGATGATGCAATCTCGGAGTCCGATAGCTTTGTGTCTACAACTGAAGATGAACTGAAGATGAGTTCATCAGTGTCTTCACAGAGGCAGCAGACTTCAAAAATGAGCAAGCATGAACAAAGTAGACAACCAAAGGAAGGAATGTTTTCACATGTTACTGAACAACAAGCAATGAAGCATACACCAAAGAAATTACAAAAGAGAAAAGAACAAGTAATAAAACAGAAAAGTAAGGACAGATTTCGAATTTTTTTTTGTGACATTATTTTCTTTTTGACATGAAAAAGAAACCTTTCTTTGTCCACACAATATTTTGACACCAAATATACAGTATCAAAATATATAACAAAATTTTAGCAAATTTCTTTCTTCATAAGACATCATTAACGTATTGTTTTTATAGATGAAGAGGCCGAATGGAGACAAGCTCAGGCTGAAATTAGTGCCATTTTGGAACCTGAGGTTGTGAAAAGTCAAGCTGTAACTACATTTGTGGCACCCCACAAACGCAAGTGAGTAGCCTGCTGTGCGGCTACAGTGTATGCTATTATAAACCATATTTTGATATAAATATGTATGAGGTATTCATTGAAATTGATATGATTTCAGATCTGTTTTGTTTGTTCACTAATTGCTGCAGGGAATGCTGGTTTATTGTGGTCTTAAAGTGTTTTTATCTTATTTATATGGTGAAATAGATTATGAAATTATGAATATATCCACCAACCATGTCTAATTTTTAATCTTCAGAAGAAAAAGCAAAGATAAAAGACCAAAGCATAAGTTATCTCATGCTTCGTCGTCAGTTGAGGATGATACAGAACTTGAAGAAGATGGAATGTACAGTTCTTTACCTGATGTTCATTACGCTAGGCCATCAGCTGCACAGGTAAGCACTTCTCATTATGTTAGACCGCCGGCTGCACAGGAAAGCATTTCTCATTATGCTAGGCCGTCGGCTACACAGGTAAGTACTTCTCATTATGCTAGGCCGACGGCTGTACAGGTAAGCACTTCTCATAATGTTTGGCCGACGGCTGCACAGGTCGGCATTGACCTGAACAATTTTATTTACATATAATAACAAGGTAATCTTTGCAAGAAAAACTAATTATTTGAGATTCTTGGTACTCTATAAACAAGCTAGGGTCCCAAGTTAAAGGAAGTCCCTTGCGGGAGATCTGGATAGAAAACTTTTATAAACACATTTATTTATTTATTTTGATTTTGCTACGCATGGTGACACCCATCTGACTTCCGTGAAACAATTGATAATAAAAAGTAGTAAAAACATGAAAGTATTGAGAATTTGCAGGAGATGAATTATTTCACGGGAGATTGTTACTTGTTTGAGGGAATGTGGGAGGCCGTTCCAATGTCCGGGAGACTCAGCACCCCTGAACAAGTCTCCAGTGAGGCTTTAAAAATGAGGAACCGGTCATTTGGAACCCTTAATAATATTTATAACCAAGTTGGGTTTAGAGCTGATTACTTGAGACCCACATTCCATAAATTGATGAGATAACAACTATTGATTTCAGATATAATTTAATCTTTGATTTAGAATGAAAACGGTGATATTGAAATGTCCTCGCTTGGCCAAACCCGAAAGCGTATGCATGCTCTACTGGATGAAGCATTTTCTCTTGTGAATCTCCCACCAACTGGACGAAATGCAGTACGCCCTCTACAGTCTACAGCAGAGAATTCAAGCATGATGGACTATAAGGTGTATTTTAAATGTTTGTGCTTGTTTTAATTAAAGGAATATTACACGTGACATTTTTTTAGCAAGCTAAGATATCTGGATAGTGGTAAGTTTCTTGTTCTGAAATATTTGAGTGTGCCATGCATGTTAACAACTTTGATTGTTTTCTTTTTTATTAGAAAGCTTCGAAAGCAAGAGAACGTAGACGTCAACAAATGTCTTCGACTGATGCGTATACTGGAAGTGATACGTAAGTTTATTATATTTTCTAAAGATATTATAAGCTCTGTGGTAAAATACAAATATTCTATTAGGTCAATGAATTGTTATCAACTTCCAATAATACACAGATCAAAACAATTCAGTTTCCAGTTTAAAGACAAATTGATTACCAGCCAATCTAAGCGAGTTGAATGGCGGAGCGGTTAAGGCAGGGGGCCGCAACCTACAGCCATAATATTGGCGCTGTTTCAAACAGCACGCTTGCTTATGGCTCTGGAAGTGGAGCAAGTCTTCTTGGATAAGGACTATAAATCATAGGCCCAGTCTACAAAGTTGGCTCTTGTGCATTATAAAGAACCCAGTACATCTTTTGAGGCGAGTAGGGGGTTACCCCAGTCCGGTGTACTGGTCCGTCTCACAGACCCAGCCCTCATCCAGTATGAAAATACAGTACACCGACAGGTGGTCTGTACTAGAATGGAAGAAGAAGAAAAAGAAGACTTTGAGAAGAATGTAGGATAGTATTATTATTATTACTATTAATTTTTTTCAATATCTGATTCAATATGAGGATTCCTTCCAAACACCACACAGGCATACTTACATATGGACGTAAAAAAAAAAAAATTCTAATCTTCATTTAGAAACTAAACAATAAATTCATTGCAACTAATTTATTTCATTTAATTTTATTTTCTTTTATTGTCATTATAGTGATGATTCTGTCTTCAGAAGTCGACACCCATTTTTAAGACGTCAACAGACTGCACCAGTAGGCCATGAAATGAGAGGTATTTTGTAACTATGTAATTTCAATGTATGATATCATATATATTATGTTTTCTCTGCAATCGTTTTTATATATATTTGAATAACAATTAAGTATAATTCTTCTGTAGATGGATTTTCTCAAACAAAAGAAGGTCCTGGGAAGGTTGTTATAGTGCCAGTCACCCAACTATCAGAGGATACAGGTGGTGTAATCTGGAGTATCTACGACGCAGAGGATCAGATGGCCAGACTCTCACCTACCAAGGAACCAGTAATTATGCCTTTATAATAAAGATGTTTCACGTTTAACAATTACCATTTTATACATCAGTATAGCATGTTTTATTTAATCCTGTGTTGTCCACTGTGTGTGCCCTGAACCATAGAAATCTTTACCTCCCCGGTTGTATTCTATCAAGCTGCTTTCTCTGATAATAACAGGTTTTATGAAAGAATAGTGAAGTAATCATTGTAAAGTATTTTCCTATCCCAAACCATACACCAGTTTTCTATAGTGCACAGTTTGATCATTTTGCAGTCCATATGCAAAAGGTTAAACAAAACCCTAAGTATTGCGCCGCGAGGAATATTTCGTTTCTAGGCTGGTACTTTTCACACCAATACAACGCGCCCTGCGTTAAGATAGGCAGATGCTCGCCGAAACATTGTTTGTTGGCATGTGAAAAATAAAACACTAACGTAGAGTAAGGTAATTTATTCCTTAAAGAAATCTATCAAACTCAATTCAAATTTTTTACTGGCGGTAAAGTGACAATATGATTTTCATGGGCATAATTTTGTTGAGTCTATATACAGCCTATAGCTATTGAGAATTCTAATTGTGGACTATGCTATAAACATTCCCTTTTGTCTTAATGCCTCAAGTAAGTTGAAACATATTTTGACATGTTCACGACCAGTTCTTAATGATCATGTAGTTGATGCCAATAAGCAACATTTATTTTTTCACAAACAGTGTTTGAAAGTTTTTTTGGTTTGCCAATTATAGAAATTTTTTTTTCATCTTTCGTTGTAGGCATCTATGCCTGGAGGTCTAGATCCCTCCCCTCCAGTGACAATTAAGTCTCCATCAGGTGCTTTAATGACACTACCCCCTCTCTCAACACTCCCAGAGTCAGAGCTTATCTCCAGAGGAGGCCCAGCAGTTCCTTTAAAACTGTTCGAAAAGACCAAAGCACCAGGAAATTATGAAGCTCAGACTTCATTCCAACAAGGATACCCTTCAAGGTCCTACTTGGCCAAGGAAACGTTGCCAGATGGGTCCATTCAACAGAGGGTACCAACTACTGGTAAATGGCCAGTAACAAAAGCACCGGGAAATTATGAAGCTGAGACATCATTCCAGCAATCGTATCTTTCAAGGTCCTACCTGGACGAGGAAAGGTGGTCAGATGGATCCATACAGCAGAAGGTACCGACTATGAGTAAACGACCAGCAACTGATATGTTATCCACTTTGGAGAAAGAGAAGAGAATTGGTAAGCCAGTGGATGATAGTTTTGATGAGTTGAATGTGACTGCAATAATTAAGGGGGCAAAGACACCACAGCCAGTAATGAGAGTCATCAAGGAGGAGCTTGAACGACTAGCTAAATTACGCCCTCAAGTCTCTGAAGATAAACTTTAAGTTGACATAGTCAAGAATGAAATGTTGATTGTTGTACTGTAGTAGGAAAGCATGTCTTGGCAGTGAATCTATGCCAATTAGAACCTTACTGATTTTATTTTTTTTGTTTTGTAGGACCAAAGTGAATAAATATTGAGTAAGGATTACAATTTAAGTTATATAAGAATAGTGAAAGCAATAATAGGTACCAAAATAAAATTTTGGTACCTATCACTATTCTTTTCACTACCAAAATTTAATTTTCAACATTATGATTGAATTCTGTATGTTAAATGGTTCACAAATCATTACAATGAAAGATTACTATAAAAATATATTAAATATAAAAAGCTACATGTATTAAAGTTTGATAGATTTTATTTTAATGAATGTAGTAATGACTGTAGAACAAAGATACTCTTTTCATCATATTTTCACATTACTCAAGACATGTTTGGTATATGTAGAGAAACTTTAATCAAAACCAGTGTATTGAATTTGGTGCTACAGTTTTCCTCTTTATTTAATAATTACATTTTAAGATTTTCTAATACTTAATAGCAATACCTTTTAATCTTGATTGTAGACTAAATGTTTTTTTATTTGTGGATATCATATTAGGATAGACTATTTTAAAATGTATTACCAGTATAAACCCACCTTGATGATAGAAATAGTACTTGCATAGTATTTTATTACTGTAGATAATGGTGTGTGTGTTTATTTTTGAAATATTCGCCAATATTTATTACATATGCATGTCTTCCTTTTCATTTTTTGTGCATAAATTCATAACCACCAGAAATATAACACTTTAAATTTTTCAATTGTATGTATGTGTATATATATTATATACATTACATATATAGTAAAGCAAAGATATATAAGAAATGTTACATTCAAAGAGGGATAGACTCTTTAGATCACCTTGTAGTAGTGCTTTATGAATATATAAATTGTAAACGTTAAGAAGAGAAATTTGAAAAGATATTCCCCAGCCAGGATTTGAACTCTTAATCTTCTGCTGTCTACGCAGATGCCTTAACCAACCTGGCCACTGGGGCTTGCGTTGAAAGTTTGAATCTGACTGGAGGCAATTGACTTCAAGCTCTACAGTATGTCGATACAACACTAGTATTCGACGCACAAGTGAACAATGATCACATTGGGGAATTAAAATGTGATTAGACTTAGGTGTGCTGTTCTTGTATTACAGTAGCTAATTATATTACTGTATTAGTAAATATCAGTATTAATGATGAATTTGAACATCTTTTTGTAATGAATATAGTTGTAGAAAGAAAATAGTTATTTTATTATTACCAAGTATATTTTATACAGTTTTTTCAAACTACTAGAGTGCCACTATGATGTGCTTACCGCGGTGGTGCCACCAGGGAGCCGAGAAGGCAGGGTTCTCATCTGGAGAAAAATCAATTCTTTGGAGAGAAAACAAATTTCATATGTAATGTTAAAGATTGTGAGACTGTAAAATTGATTAAGTTAGCCTCCCAAATCCCTAAATTGTAAGAGCTTCTAAAGCTTCACCTCATGGACCCCTGCTGAAGGTTTTGGGCGGTCCCTGGCCAAACCCACTTACATTCCCTGGCACCATCACTGATGTGCCACTCATTGTGCCAGTTGCAGATGGCATTGTGTTTACTGGTACACAAGTACAGTACATATACGAGTATTGTACTGTGTGTACCCCATGGTTTCTAGTATTTTTTTGAAGTCTTAAGTTTTTATTTGTAATAGTTTTTGTGTTACTGGACCTATTTGCAAATATCTTGCCTTGTATTGTCATCTTGTTGCTTCCTGATTATTCTATGGAAAATGATTGTTGTATTTTTGTCTTCAACTTAATAATAGTTTTTAGTTTACAATTTCAGCTTGTGTGTTTGTAGTTAATCTATGTAGATCAGTGAATTTCTGGTTTGTTGATTAAGGTGCTCCCATTTCAGTCTTTCTCAATCCTTAACTTGGGAATATTTCTCACAACCAATTAAATACATTCCCTAATTCTCAGCTTTCTACATTCCCAGCCTTTAATTCTCGGTCATAGAGCATGAAAGGTATTATAAATATCTGATCTTCACTCTCAAACTTTCAGCTTTTGAAAATTATACCAAGTTAGTTCATAAACCATAATTTCATTCCCTTGTGGCAAGACATTCACTCTTGCGAAGAATGAAATCAAATGTAATATTTATAAACTTTTCAGCCACTGCTTGATTAATGGTCTAATTATTGGTTTTCTCTGGTAACTTAAGACAAGAATTAAAGAAGGAAATGAATTTTATATCATTTAAAGTGCAGTATATTTATAATCAGTCATACAAAAGCCATTTTCATCTGCGGAGAATCCAGACTGTGTTCAGCTCCAAAGAATTGTTTGCAAAGTGCCACCAGCTCATCATTCAGCTCTAGGCTTTCATCAAATGCCATGGCAACACCTAAAAGAAAGACATAGATTCATTTCCAATGAATGAGTACAGTATAAATAGTACAAACTTATTCAAACAAACCTCTGGTCACATCATGCTGAAACCTTGCAACAACAGCACAATTTCCAACCATTTTTATCCAACGTTTGTATCCATCCAATTTTAAATGTCTACTGATTTTGGCAAACTTTAATTATTTTACCTCATTATCAATATTTTTAGATCGATATTTTTAGCATTGTGGTTGCTAAAAATCCATTTTTTTTTATCAGGGCGAGAAAGTGTGTGCTACCACACAACCAAGGAGAATGTTATGCAGGTAGTTGGCATTGGATTGTTTTTTTGGTCAAACCGGACAGGTTAGTTTGACCAAAATTAATCTAATATGGAGATGGCTTTAGCCTTGTTAGAGTCAAATCCCCTATATACAGTAAAATTATACGACTAGCAAAATAATAAATTTGCTAACTTTTGAAAGTGATGTCATCATGAGTTGGCCCTATTCCACCAGAGGTAAGTACGTGCGTATATTGGGATGAAAAGCTTGCAATTTCATTTGCAACTGAATGCAAGTCATCACCAACTACTGTTATCTGTGTATGAGAAAATAAAACAATTATCCAAATTATGTAATTTACACACAAAAACATAAATTTCAGGAGATCATGAATCATACAATCACATGCAGTATGGATCTTACTTTTTACCTTTTCAACTTTGATTCCCATTTGAAAAAGCTCATTACATAAATAATGTGAGTTGGTGTCTTGGACGTGTCCTTTTAAAATCTCATCACCAATAACTATAATAAAAGTAAAAAAAAAAAAAAAAACATAATATCAAGTATTAGTCCATAAATATAAATAAATATTTTTCTAAATCATAGCTGTAATTTTTAACAATGATTAATTGTTAAAATCGATTAACTAAGGGCACATACTGTAGAAAAAATTATTAAATCACTCTTTTTTAAAGTGATGAGGTCGGGCGATTTTTTTTTTTTTTTAATCGGAACAATAAAATATTGTTTTTAATTGGCAAGAATATTGTAAAAATTGTATAAAAGCTGGTTTAATTTTATTGTTTTTTTAAAGAAAATGTATTTCCAGTCACAAAATTGTATTGTTTTTTAAACTGTTGAAATAAATGATGTGGTAAAAAAAAAAAAAAATTTATTCCTGCATCAACATTTCTCAAATTTTTGATGCGGGCGGAGTGATAATCTAACAATTTTTTCTATTGCCCTAACAATAATTTCAATTAAACAATTTAAGCAGCTTATTTTCTAGCTAAAGCTGGCCTAGGGCAGGCCTTCTTTCTAGACGTTGAGCAGTCTGACCTTGTCTGAGATTGAGAAGCTCATACCGACCTAGATAAGGCCTAGGGCCTAGTAGTAGTATCATAGATAGGCTGGGCCTAGGCCCTATTTATCTATGCGCCGGGTTTAGTTAGGAAAGGCCGGGACCGGCGCCCCGGGTGGTGGTGGTCTCATTAGGCCTCTAGGCTGACCTAGGTTGGGTCAAACAGTTGTAGTACTTACTTATAATGCCAGCAGTTGGTTTATCATTTGAAGACATAGCTCGAAGTTGTATTGATCTTGATACAGTACTCAGATGTCGACGGAGCACTCGTAAGCGATAAGCAACCGTCCTAAACATTAGTCAATTTCACATCAATTTTCTTCTCTTCGTTTTCTTGCATGCTTGACTGGCTTCTTTCACGCATGGCTGGTTGCACATTCAAACAGCTGACACTCAAAGATGGTAGGGGGCGTGTTGTTGTTTTGGTGCATAGAAGAAGTTGTAGAAAGAAAAGGATATGGCTGGGTCCAGCAAGGGAAGTTGTTTAATCATCGTTAGTTCACATTCAGATGGTATGAAAGTGTATTTATAGTGTAGGAATCAGGATTGGATACACTGAATTAATATAAAATTCGACTTCGCAGCAGATTTTTGCAATCTGCAACTGCATGGGCTAGGCTAGGCCTAGAGCGGCGGCGTAATCAGTCAGGTGGTCCAGATTCAGTCCAACTAGCCTAGGCCTAGAGGGAGATGTCAGTTCTTGGCTGGAACCGAAAAATGCATGCCTAGGTATAAACTGTAGTAAAGGAAAAGCTTGGTTATAAATTATGGCACCGGAAATGGCACTCTCATGCTTAAATTTGGAAATAATATTTTTTTTGTCCATTTTTTTATAATTAAAAAACATTACCACACATACTACAGTAGGCCCCCCTATTATGTTGTACTGTAGCATCGAGTCAATTTATACATTTAAATACATGTGTAGAAAGACAATTTCAAACAACGTCTAAAAATGTAGTTGATTACCAAAAATGTGATGACTTCAGGTTCATTGTGCCCATGAACCCTACAATGGGCACGGTATTCCTCTGTCCTTGAGTCTTGTGTTGCCTGTTGGGGATGTTGCCCTGCCATCATTCAGGGGCTTTCAGATGGCACTTAATAGGTAATGAATTCCATAATTGTTGCTGGATTTAAAACCATAATCATGTTGTTAGCTGAGCATCCATACTACCACCGATAATAGTCTAGGTCTAGGTAATAATTCCTGATATTGTATTCAATTTCAGGCCTAGGCACTTTATTTCTCTACCAGTGGGCCTACTAACATGTCCATTATTTTTAATCTTTTAGGTGTTCTTGCACAGTCTTTTATACATTCCTTTACACTGACTCACTCAGCCTTCAATGTTCAGTTAGCAGCACCAGTGGTAAGAATTAACTCTTTGTCCAAAAAATATATTTAAAAAAAAATTGTCATAAGAATAATGGATATAGTGAACACATTTGTTTCGAATTTTTTTTCTAAATCCGCATTATTATTTTGATTATTATTATTACTATTGATTATTATTATTATATATTAATTATTATTTTTAATATGGTTATTGTTATCACTTTTGTCAGTTTTTAATGTTATCTTTTTTGTATTATTTCTTTGAACAGGCGAAAGCTATTGATTTCATTAAACAAGATGATAACAGTAGAAAATGGTTAAATGAATTTCGTACAAAGCCTTTTGCTACACCAGTCAGACTGGAAACTATTGAAGGTAATTTGCATATCTACATTACAGTAAATTTAATCACTGTATTTTGTCGTCTTTCAAATTTTATTTATCATAACTATATTTTATGTATTTATTATTATCATCATCAACAGCATAATCACTCATCTTTTTTGAAATCTTTTAAACTATTTGGAGTAAGTTCAGATATCATTTATTAGAGACAGTAACTGATATACTTATATGCTCTAGGTTTAGTGTATGTTTTCCATTCTTTAGTTCTGTCCAGACTGGTTTGTGATATTTCCTCTTTGAAGTTTCAAATTATAGTTTATTGTGGTTGTTTAGTGTTTTTGAAATGAACAATAAATAAATGAGTGAATGAATAAACAAATAAATAAGTATGTAACTTACATAAATATCTTCTATTCTAACTCTTTCCAGTTTGTCCCATTACCATTGCCTGAGGCTGTACTATTTCTACTAAAAGTGCAAAGACAAAATTTAAAATTTGATATCTTTTAAATCATCGCGACACCATATGACTGGAAAAGGTTAAAATGTTGAAAAGCTTTCTAGAGTAGCAAAAAGTTTAACAGTATCAACAACATGTTTTGTAGGTAGTTTAATGTAGTTTTTTTTTATTAGTTTTAAAAATTTGCTTGTATTTATCATGGAGCTCTCCTTTTTTGCAGCTAGTCGGTATTCAGCCCTTCTTTTCCCCGACGCACCTGGAGCATTACATGATTTGTCATCCAACTCTGAACTTGCCAATATTATCCAACATTTTATTCACGAACAAAGTAAGTTTGATATATAAGTGCCTCTTGTGTTTGAATTTCATGTGACATTAATGATAAAAAATTGTTTCAATATAGCGTTGGTTTAAACTAGCATCCTTCCCAAAGGAGGTTCTTGATGCTGCTTTGTTCTTGGTGGTGTTGTTAAAAGTAGTACTACTTATTGTTACATTTTGTCAAATCTATTTTTATTATAATATAATTTTTAGTAAACATTTGTTTTATAAAACTTTCTTTATCTAGTTCACAACCATTGAGACGCTGAGCATAACAGATATAATATAATATAATATATTGTAAGTCAATCGTGATGTCATCCCTGCAACTCCCAATGTTAGTTTCCTATCTCCAACCGTGCACTAATTTTTCGTTGTTACATGGCTTGCTTTACCTTTTTTGGTTCACATGCAGAAGGCCAATTCTATCACCATATTGCGCACTGCAATGCATTTTAGGCTAGTGTTTTTACACTTAGAACTACAATGCATGTCTGCGGAAAGAGAGGAATTTTTTGCATTAATCTAACCTTCAAAAATAATTTTCACATAGTGTATGATATGCAACCATTGTAATTGCTTATTTGTTTTTCAGAGCCTATTTGTGCCATTGGATCAGGTGTAGCTGCACTGTGCTGTGTCAAAGATAAGTACAAATGGGGCTTCTCCAACTATTCAATGACAGGCGTGAGTATTAATAACCCAAATTTACAGTAGTACATAATCACTTTCAGATTATAAAATATTAATAATAACTGTAATGGTACGAGTAATAATGATAAATATTATGATAGTGAAAATGAAAACAACAGCAGTGGCATCAACAACAAAAATAAATACATACAAATTTTCTTTTGTTTAACTAGCCAGAAATGATTTAACAGTGTATATATATGCAAGAAACCAGATGAATTTATTTCAGTGTATAACAAAAACAAATTTGCAAAATTTTAATAATATTAATCCATATTTTTATATATTCTTTCATTTTCTTCCATTATATTCTCTTAGCCATCTGTGTATGAACTTGCCCAGTCATCAGGTTTTGGTGAAATTCCAATTATTCTTGAAGACTTTATCAAAGATAATGACGCTACTTTTAGTGGTAAGTTTTGGTGTTTTTTTTTTTTTGTATTTCATTTAGTGATTTAACTGCACCTTTACATTAAATACAAATTATTACCATATTATGAAAAGATGCAGTATGTAACTGTTGCTATCTTAAGCTGTAGCATGCATTGGTGTGTAACAGGCTCCACACAGCATGTTTTGGAACTGGAACTACTTTTACAAAATCAGTGTTTTGGTTCTACACTGGCCTTGGAATTAGAGATTAACTACTTGTTAGCCTGGTTCATGTCAAAGTTAACCCGACTATCTAAATCTGGAAATATGATACGATTTTCCCTATTTGCTTTTGATGGCAAGTTAGAGCCAGATAAAGCAGCCTGCAAGCTTTGAGGCCATCGATGTCACTGAACAGGAATTGTGGTTAAACCAGACTGAAAATCCGCACAGTGGAAATGCTTGTTTATAAGACGTCTATTTTACGTACACTAGTACCAAGGGGTGTTCGTAAACTGAAAAATTTGTAAACTAGATAAGGTGTCAGTTTCCACTACCTAGCCTAGCCTTTCTCTGCCATTGATATAGGCTGACCGCGACCAGGTCTAGTAGTAGTAAAGTACGAACCAACTGACCATGCAGCAGCGTGGTCTACCGCAGTAGTTCGTAGGAGTAGACTAGGCCCTAGCTAAATTTACCTTCGATAAAAACCAAAGTATTGTAATCGCTAGCATTCTCCCAATTAACAAAATATTGTTTTAATTTTTATTAAAACATCTGTATATTTTATAGACCTTTCTGTCGTGTTCTTCTAGTTTTTAGGTCTCTGAACTATTGTTTACATGCACTTTGCGATAATCTAGTTTCACAGTGTCAATAAGTTACTGACCCCAACACATTTTTTTATTTCATCATCGTAAACATGTGCACACATTTTAACGACAGGTGCGTTGGTGGTAGTTCATTGGCTCTGAATTAATAGCTATTATTACAGTAAAAATGAAAGAAAAACAAGAATGATGTCTAGATAAGTGGATCAATATCTAGAAATAAGTTTGACGTGAACCAGGCTATTAAGAGCCTGAAGCATTTAGTTTCTTATCAGCAGTAAATGATAAGAAAATGTGTAAATTTCCTGGGCAGCTGTACACATCATTTATCTGTATGAACCCTACCAGGAGCTCCAGTCAGCCCCTAGTTTCTGACACCCCTACCCCTCGGACAACTGGACCCCCTTCTGACAAATTTATGGAGCCGCTGCTGCTGTGGGGGCTGATGTCATTTTATGTTGGACACAGCTCGTAGTTTTCTTCATCCCTGTCCACTAGGTGTTCCCATTACATCTTATTGATATGGCTTCTCTTATTTCCTTTGATTTTTTTTTTTTTAACATTCCTGATCTATCTTTGCTAGTAATAGGATAAAAAGTGATAGTATGTACTGAATGGCTCTATGTACATGTAAGCCTAATCACATTATCTTTTTAAATTTTTAAGCAACTTTGCCAAACTGTGTACATATTGTTGTTGATCGCCATCTGATAACTGCACAAAATGATGTATCCACGTTGACTGCTGTTCAAAACCTAATCCTCTTGGTCAATGCAAGGTACGGAGCACTTATTGTTATATTTTATTCAAACATTAAATTTTTGGGGGAATTGGGAGTTTGTTCAAATTTTGTTGAAGCAGAAAATAAATATTCATATATAATTATTTATTTTTCAGACAAGGAAAAAATTTATCCCACTAGATTGAAAAACCTACATTATGAAAACACAGACCAACATAATTGCATTAATATTGAGCAAAGTGTACAAAATTATATTCGCACAGTTTTTCATGTATAAGATTTCAGATGTATAAAATATTGATTCTTGCACATCGATATATTTCATGGGAAATATATCTCAAGGTATCTGTCATGTGATTGGCTACTTCAGTGCAGTGTGTTCACAAAAGTTAATATGATGGTCGTTGGCCGTCGTGATTCCATGAAGTACGCCACAAAGTGCGCGCAACGGATCAATTTTGACGACTATCTGTTCAGAAAGCTACCGACAATCTGCACACAGTGTCACGTTATCTACCACTCACAGGGACCAGAGTTTGATTTGTCGGCTGACGGTCGTACAGCCTGGCACGCCGCAGAGAGTGATCAACTTAACATGCAACAATCACATAGACTCATAAGATTGAGAGTGAGAGTGTGATTTCATGAGAAAAAGTAAAATTATTACCTTTAGAGTGAGTGTTACTTGTTAAAGTGTCACTTTGAGAAGAGTGGTATAGTAAAGTAATACTTGAAGAGCGAGAGTTAGATAAGTGAAAGTTTCACTGCAATATTAAGCAAGAATTTTACTTAAAAAGTAAAGTTTTATTACATAAGTGAGATAAAGGTGACAAATATACAGTAGGTAGTGGAGTGAGAAGGGTAAATCAAGAGCGAGGTAAAGTGTCACACTTCAAGAGTAATAGTTTCACTTCAAGAGTGTTGGATGCTTTTTATTTGCATTACAATAACTTGGACGAAAATAATTTCAACCTGTTTTATTTAGACAACACTACAGTAATCAGAATGTAAAACTTTATATAAATTGTATGGAGCGTGCTAATATGCTAATGAATATGTTATAATAACATATTAAATAATATAATACAGTAATATATATTAAATATATTATTTTATATGTAAGTAAACCAGTAGGCCTACTGTATGACAGAATTTGGATCTTGTTTAGTGTAATCTTGGAGAAGCTTTTACCTTGTAGAAGGCCATGAGTGAGGCCATCGGTGGTGGTGATGATAATGATTTCTCATGAATTGTTGTTACAGTATTATTCGTGACCTCTAATGTAATTGTTACATTAGAGCTGGTTATTTTTACATTTTCACTTTCATTTATAGGCTTTGTATCATATGAACATTGTTTTTGAAATACAGAGAGTAATATAAAACAAAATACTAAGGTTTAAAGCCAATTGGATATCCCTAGGATACCAAACATTAGGCCGACCAGCCCTCCTTAAACTAACGTTAGAATACCGCACTTTCGGCGGTAAAGAACAATTAAAACCTCATAAAAAAGGCAACTAATCCGTTTACCTATAATTGAATCTAAGGACACCAGTGTTAAACTCTCAGTACTTATCCTTGATAATGTGTTAATCCAATTAATATAGTGAGATAATGTAACATTAGTTTATCGTGGGCGGGTTGAGCTAATTAAAACCGACAGCGTAAACGTACGTAAATGTGTGTGTTTGTGGGGCAACACGTTTGTTGTTGGAAAAGCGCATATTTCTGCCCTATTCTGATTGGTCAGTTGTTAGTTTGTCTCTGTGAAAAGGTCTATTATGATCTAATAAAGCTTTATTATGGTCTAATAAAGGTCTATAATGGTGAGGATCTAAACTAAGGTAAAAATATATTGACTAAAATATGTGTAAACAATGCAATATGAAATTTAATAATAATAATGGGCTACCTATTATTAATGCATCATCTTTTAAGAAGAGTAGATAAAAGGTACTGGTAAAGTGTACATTTCAGTGGCGTATAAAGCAATGGTTCAAAGACACAGAATTTGTGACATTTTAAAAGCATATTTTTACACGTTCTTTTCATTAAGGGGCCTTGCATGGCCGATTTTGTGCTTATTTTTAATTGAGTTTCTCTACCAATTATCATCCCTAGTCTCCTGGCTTTACCAATTGATAAAAGAACTCAACATTAAATAAAACATTCCCTTTTGTACTTAAGGTTACTTAGATTCTATACGAAGTATAATTATTAAAAATTATAAAATACACTCGGAGAAATGTTATGAGATATTGTTTTTTTTTTACATCATGTTCTGTCCTTGTTCATAGTTACACTATTACAAAAAGGATTTTCTCATTTCTAAGCATGATGAAGTAACTGTGAAAAACCTTTAGCAATAATGACCTTCATATCATTATTTTGTCTCATCTTGTCATAAAATATAATTAGCCTAATATAAACACTAACTTCAGTATTTAAACGAACATAAATTATTATATACATGTACATATTGTGCAACCTGTAACTACAATTTAAATACATTATGTATGTGCACATTGTTGCGCTATCAAGTGCACTATCATATATAAGAATCCACTGGCCATTTCCTTGCAAGACTGATTGAATGCAATAGTATACAGTAGATGTTATACCATTAGTCACAAGCAAATCCAGATTGTTGCTGGATTTAAAACCATAATCCTATTGTTGGCTGAGCATCCTTACTACCATGAGCTCCGCAAAGTTCTTAACCCTTGTTCCAAGTTAACAGCTTATTATTTACCAAAGCAAGCGTCATCGCTATCATAAGCATCGCTTTCTTCTTTTTCACTCTTTTCATTATCGGAATCCTCTTTTTCTTTATCGTTGGAACCTTCTTTATCTGACTCTGCAGAATGTTGTGAACCTTCATCAGACGTCTCGCTGCCATCGTCACTAGATGGTTCTGACTCCGTATCTGATGAAACCTCTGATTCATCAGATTCATTCTGGTTTTCTGTATATTGATAAGATAAATAGTTCATTCGTCAATGGAAATGGATGGTTTTTTTTTTCATTGAAAGTTCCTATGCGTAGGCAAGACCATGTTCCAAAAAGAGACAATGTAACTAAAAATCGTTTATCATATCAATAGGCTTATTTTCTTGAGAAAAAATTCCACACAATTGTGCACGAACATTTCTTGAATTAACAGTTGATATATTTCAAAAATTCATCAGTTCGTGTAAACAAAATTAACAGATCCCCTGATCGTTATTGGCCATAGGCCGTGTTCTTTTTATAAACTTATCATTTTTACTATTGTTATCACTACTTTTGTACAGGACATAAAGTTTTAAATTTTAGGTTTGAATTTTTTTTTATTTTACTGTAAGTTTAACAGTGACTACATTTCTTTTATTATTGATATATTTAGTGTATCCTGGCACATGCTGATCAAATTAAATTAAGATAAGATGAATTAAACAAAAATAAATGTAGGCTATGTTACGAATAAGTAATTGATAATGCACCTTTATCCTCTTTATTAATTTTTTACTTAATTCTGGTTGAATCTTACCTTCCTCTGCATTTGACTGAACCTCACCAGCTTCCACACAACTGTTAATATCTATCGTCAGTAAAATGTTATAAAATACAATTATCAAAATATAGTTATTCTTAACCACAACAAAATGTTGTGATAAACTACTGCTTTAGGGCTATTTATTATTGGAATAATAACAGTAGCAATAATGATAATGATAAGAATTTTGATAATAATAATAATAATAATACTGATTATCAAACCTTTTATAATATTGAAATAATATATTCTAATCGAATAAATATGATTATCATCTTACCCATAACTAAGTCAGTTTTAGACCCTGGCTGCTCTCCTGCCACCTGTACGCAACTTTCAGTGTCTGTGGACATAACATATCATCCAAATAATGCTATCAAATATAATATGAATTATGAAATTCAATTTGGGTAGTCCATAAATGCCTTAAAATATATCACATCACTTATCAAAATAACAATATATTAATCAGGGAACAGTGAAATTTCACTGTTCCCTGATATTAATCATTGTGTAAATGTATTTAGGTCAATATAAAATATTTATTAAAATATATAAACATTGTGTTACTTACCTAAAGCCAATACTATCGGGTCATCCTGGCAAAAGAACAAAAATAAAGATCATAAATGTTTGCAAAATATTACAAGATCATATAAATGCTTGGAGAAGAACTGGACGACAGAGAGTCGTAATAGCCTAGAACTCCACGGAATACAATAAAAAGTAATATTTAAAAATACAAATATGATTAACAAAAACAAAATCGTAATCATAAACTATTAACACTTAACTATATTGCCAAAAATGTTTCGATATAGGCTTGTTTATTTTTTTTTCTGACGTCATCATAGCCCAATAAAGTTTTTTCACTGAACACATAATTGCGAATACAAAACCCATTGCGTGTTTTTAAAAACAAACGTGTAGTTGTGTACATGCCTACTTACCATTTTGTCAACAGATGTTGACGAGCGAGTCAGTGATTGCGAAGACAATGACCGATCGTGACGCCGAATTTCACTCATCTAACAGAAAACATGTTCTGTTAATTTACCTTATCTTTATTGCAAGCATACATGATAAAACATGGCAAGAAATAGATTTTTGTTATCAAGCTTAGCCCCATTTCTTAACTACATGAATTCATCCCACCCAAACACAATTCAATAATTACTTAATAATAAAATATTTTTTAAAAAAACAAGGATTTTTTCTCAATACTCGAATAACAAAAATGTTTTGAAAAAAAGATATTTATCGACCTCTCTTAACTCGATAGGTAACGAATTCCATAATTTTTCACAGGAAAATAATTCTAAATAGGCCTAGATTAGTTCGACTTCTGGATTTACAATTAAATCTTATTATGTCCAGTATTCTCAAAATATAGTTAAATCAATCGGAGATAATGTTCAAAACAATTAGTTTATGGGGCTTAAATATATTCAAAATTTAAAGTAAAATAAAGGTGCAGAATGAGATCTAAAAATAGGAAAAGTGATGCATCTGGCACATATTTTTTGAATACATAATAATGGTTTCAAATAACATTGCACTGTCCCATACCTTAAACAAATATGTTTTGATAAAGGAGTTATAAAGAAAAACAACTGAGGTCTCCCCGTGGACACAGTGCCTTAACTTAAACACAATTTCACCTCTCTTTTTAATCTTATTCAATTCATAAATATGTTATCTAAAAATAAGAAATTGATCAAGCTTAACGCTAGCAAAAGAGACGGAATTGCATTCAGAAATTAAAGTTGTGTTAATATTTATGTAACCCGATGTAGTGGCAACTTAGTTTTTTGATTGAAAATTATATAATTGGTTTTATCAGAACTTATTTGCGTTGCACCAATCAGTTGCTTTTTGGAAATGAATCATATTCCCGGGAAAATATTTAATAAATTGCTGTCGTCCGCAAACAATCTGATGAATTTTGAAAATCATTTAAATAAATTAAAAACAAAATTACTCCAAACACTGTTCCATGAGGAACACCACATTCGATAAGCAACTTATTAGACACACCCATTAGAACAAACAAATAACCGTCAAATTCAAAGTTAATCTTGAACACACGCACCATGACATTCATCAATTTTAAAATCTAAATAATTTCATGTGGAATTTTATATAGAGTTTTATCATTATTATTTAAGTAAATAAAATCAAGGCAAAAAAAAATTAATTACCTCAAATGAACAGTAACAATAGAGGGCGACAAATACGCCATTCAACGAAAAGAGAATATAAAACATCAACCAGAATATATACTGCTCATCCACCATTAACGCAAAAACCCAAGTAAGGATAAATAAAGGAGTCAGAAAACAACTGCATCCAATACAGCGTCTAGGCATAAACAAATAAAATCAGAATATTACGGTCTGCTGGAAAAACGTGTAAAAAATTCGAAAGAATCATAGTTTATCAATAAAGACATAAAAAAGAAGTATTTTTCATTTACATCTTATGCGGGCATATGTAGTATTTACCTTATTTGAGCTGTAATATATTCTTGTCGTTTCTTTCCTTTTATTTCTTTCGTTAACATAAAAACTATTAATACAATCCGAATCTGAAAAGGAATGAATACTAAATATAGAATATCTTGATACTTTTTCAAATAGAATATTTGGACGGTACTAATAATTTTCTTTATAAAAATTAAATTAATTGTTTTACATTTTATACTCATCACACCACATTATGGGATAAAATAGTGTCATTTGTATTTAGAGGGCTTCTACGTAGAACTATTCAATGAAGATATGAATGGCAAGTAAGTATAAGTAAGTAAAAAAAGTAGGCCTATAGTATAAGTAATTACAAGCCCAGTTTATTCGAGTAACGGATACATTCATGAATGAATGATTTATAAATGGGTGGATGAATAAATGGAGAGTGGAGTTGAGTAGCTTGGGTGGTGGTTAAAATACTTTCTTTCCAATCCCAGGGTCATGGGTTCAATTCCTGTCAGTATTGCAGGATTTTTTTTTCTCACGATTAAAACAACTTCACTCCATTCTAAACCTTATTGAGTTTGTGTAAAGCATTGTGTCGTGTGTATGTTTGTCCTGTGAAATGGATTGTCACCTAAGTAAGACAGCGTTATAATCAGTATTGACAATCATTGGTGCATGTTTTATGTACCTAAATCATTTTTTTATAATACTATAAAAATAAATGGAAAAACGAATACATAAAATGCTTGTGGAGTGAAGTTGTAGCTTGGTTATCGAATCCTGGTTTCCATAGAATCGTTACACAGTCGCTATACCGTTTTCACTGCAATCGTTGCACTGTGCAGGCGCTGTTCTCGACGCAATCTGGAACGCTCCCTGGCTCAATTGACCAACGTGTAGCAATTTTTATGGAAACCAAGCTTAAGATTAAACCCTTCCAATCTCAGGGCTCCTGACTTCTGAATGCCAGGTTCTCATGGATGCTGGACTCGATGTGAAAGAATAATTAAATTTAAAATCAGTAAATACTAACCAGAATTAGGGCCATAGCTGGAAATATGAATGCTACTAGACTTCCAGTCTCGAACCTTAACCAGCATCTAAAATGATATGTGATTTAAAAAATTATTCACAAAAAAATGACATAAAATATTATTCCGTAGGAAAGGTTTAGTTCCCTTTGCCAAATATTATTTTAATTCTTTAAATGTATTTTTAAAGTGGCTACCACTACGTAGTTGTGGTAGTGGCGACCGTGGTCATGATCATCGTCGTCGTCGTCGTCGTCGTCGTCGTCGTCGTCGTCGTCGTTGTAGTATTAGTAAAATTGTAGTAGTTGGTAGACCTATAGCAGTAGTAATTGTTAGTGGCAGTAGTGGTGGTCGTATATAAATTAAGCCTATTTGTTGAAGGATTATGTTCTGTATTTGAGCTTACCCACTCTGACCGCTATACCCATAATGAATACCAAAAAATAAAGCAGCAATAGATGCAGCGCCTCCCCATCCACAAATAAAGTAGCCTGGTTTTTTAGATATGCTGCTGCCTTCTATGCGAATTTTAGTCTTCAACATGTACAGGTATATGCATTCAACAATCAACCAAGTTAGAAGAGACATATAGAAAAAATGTACCAGTACACCGAATGTAGTACACAAAATCTGAAAAGAAAAAAAAACTTATAATCTTAACTTTGGACGATGCTTTTTGCTAAGAGGCGAAGTAAAAATATAAGTGAAAACACGACAATATAGCGATTTTATGGAAACCAGGCTGTACTTACGTCAAAATCCATTGTCTCTGAACTGACAATAAACACTAACGTCAAAAGCAGTGATCCAACCAACAAGTTCGAATGGATAAATATAGTCAGCGGTCCTTTGAACAATCCCCTTTGGATAAATTAATCATTTTGATAATGTTAATAATTTGTTTCATATTTAGCATTTATACTAAGCAACAATTAGGAGTAATAACGAATAAAATCGGTATATTGTATGCATAATTAATGCAATGTGGTCCATATAGAATATTCATAGTCAAAAGGAACTGTCCTTACCAAATTAAATGTATAGCTCTCATGACATATACTAGAGAAATTATTGAAATTAGACAAATGAAGTAAATTCCAATACGTTCTGCAAGAAGTTTGTAATCGAAATTCTGTAAAAGTAAACAAAGTGACGCAAACAATTATTGCTTCTTGAGTCCTTGAGTTTTTACAATAAGCCTAACAGGAAGCGTTTTGGAAAGAACGCCAAATAGCAGTGCAGAATATGCATACATTCTTCTAAATTCCCACTTTAATAGTTTATAATTAATTGAGGTGACACACTTCTTACTTTAAGATGTCACATGGATAATATTCAATATTTAACAACGCTTTAACACATTACACGTACGCTGTACTTCTCTGCTGGTAGAAAGATGCCGAATGTGGTCGTATGTGCACAGCGACAGTAGATTGGTGACAAATAATCAGTAATGTCAGAGCGTTCACATCCCAATGTAGCCCATTCTCTGAAAAATAATTAACGGCCATATTCACCGAAGATATACCATAAATGTTGTTTCTATTATTGATATTTTTTATTGATCATTATTATTGGTGTTGTTATCGTTCTTGGTATTATCGTCATCCTCATTATCATCGTAGTAGACGCAGTAATTATGCTAGTGAGCAGCGGCGGCAATAGCGGCGACAACAGTAGTAAATAGTAATAAATACTTTTAGAATCGGCAATAATGTGTGAATACCTGTCATCCTCGTCCCAGAACCCACACACCGCATGTTGCTTATAATAAAGAGTATCGTCTTCGTTAGCAGTCTGTAGTAGGGCCTAAAGAATCAAACCGAAATACTAATATGTTAATATTGAGTAGGTTTTCACTATGCACATTTTATCGACAAAAACATCTCGGCCAGACTTTAAGGTTTGCTGTTTACAAACCTTTGCTGTTTAATGGTCATCGTCCTTGTACTAGATTTAATATCATAAAATTAACTATACATTTAATATAGCGATTAATTACCGCTATATTATCGCTTGTTTTTATTTAAATAAAAGTAAACGTTTTACTTGCTACTTTAAATTTACTTTAAGCGTCGAGATCGACTTACCGTTGTTACTTCCATCGAAAAGTCAATAGACACCGAGTGTTTAGAAGTATTTGTAGCAACAGTGCATGAGATAAGCCCACTTGCTAGTTCATACGGTACAGCCAAAACTTTTTCACTTTACAAAAAAAAAAAAAAATAACCCACAAAAATTAGCTTATGCATGAGATCAAACGTTAAGCATACGTTAAGCAAAGTAGAGTGAAGTCCAACAAACTCGTCCATACAAGCATTAGTCAACTATGACGTCAAACAATGATTAATATAAATTTGGTTTACTTATTACTTACGCTTCTGCTTGGAATGTTACATCCGATTTCTCTTCCCCTTCACTTTCTTCAAAGAGTACTTTGTCATAATATGTTACGATAATCGATGCACTTTCTACATCAAACGAAATATATATATATATATCTGTCTCTTATACACATCTAGATGTAAACGACTCTGCCACGTATTATCTGTCTCTTATACACATCTATGAGTCCAACAACTTTTCCTTAGTTTCAAAATGGAAAGACCAAACTGCATTTTCTACAAGTTCGATGTTAGATGCTGTTTAGAAAATAGAAATGAAAGAAATGTGTCATGTTCTTAATAAAAGAATAATAGTATTATTATTTTAATAACGACAATTATAATAATAGTATTATTATTTTAATAACGACAATTATAATAACAATAATAAATAAATGATAAAAATGTGTACAATACCACATACCAACTCTTTCAGAGGATTTTTTCACCGTTGTGTTTGTCTGTCTTGTAACGATTTTCTTTAAAAGAATCTCGGATGCTAAAACTATATCAATCTGCTGAGCCATATTCTGTACATTAAAATAGTTACAATTTTGTTTTAATTCTTTCCAAACTAGATTGGGTGCTGTGCCAAAATGCAGGTAGCAATGAGTGTCAAACAAGCTTGAACACCTGACCACTCACCTGGATTACACCCATGTCCCACAGACACATGTGGTTTACGTACGTTTAGGCCAGACACTCACTGCGTCGTACGACCGTCGGACGGCGAATCCACCTCTGCTTCCGGCGGGCGATAGACAACGTAATGCCGTCTGCTGGCTGTCAGTGGCAGTCTGAACGAATCCTCATTTAAAAAGGGATCCATTAGTTCCGCGCCGTCGTGTGCGTTCGTCGACGCGTTGCCGTCGCACGTAGTAAGTACCCGGCTTTAAGTCCCATTTACACTAGACACGATTACGACACGACAACGACATATCATCACGTAGTTTGCATTTTTCAACACTGCGCGCATGTGTATCGTGTCGTAATCGTGTCTAGTGTAAATGTGGCTTTACGCTGTCGTTTTGGACCTTGACATCAAGCCTAAATATGGACAGTCCACACAAATTTGTCAAATAAAAATTGAAAGTGTGTATAGACCTTGAGGAGTCCTAATTGTATGTGATTTGAGTTAGCCAACGCCCCTAATATACATATAATTTATTCTAGTCTATATTTTTGGAAAGAAAACCGATTCTTACCTTTTTGCGATCGATAACTGTAGTTGTCACATTAATTAATTCCTTAAACAAAGAATTAGAATAAGTTAGATTATGATTTTTAACTTAGTTTTTTTGTACATCTGTAGGTCTGTTTGTACAAAACCATGGACATTGATGTAGAGTTCATTAATTTTTATTTTATATATTTTTTCTCTTCTGTCTTTATAAATAGTTGTGTTCATACTGAGGCGATTTTATCTTGTAAATTTGTAGGAAATTCTACACCTTTGGTTTCTTTTCAAGTACCACTGTCAAATACACACCTCTGTCATAACCTTTGGCTCCCTATTCCCTATATCTTCCGACGCTGATGACATTGATAGCAACATTACTTCTAAATCGTCGATTTCGTTGTCAGTAAGATCGCGGCCTTTTCCTCTGTTAACAGCAATGGCTGATACTTGTAAAATGTCCACATCGTCTGTTCCGTTGAATAACTAGTGAATTAGAATATGTTTCTTTAGTAAAGACTATTTTTGTTATAATTACAATAAATTTTATTATTGATAGTATTACTCAGGGGTGGCGCCGGCATTTCATTTATATCTGGTCCATCTTTAGGAACCACAGCCGCATCTGCCCCACCCTTGTTGGGGCTAAGTTAAATAGAAATAAGGTTATGTCACCTCTAGATGCCCAAAAAATGGCACTACGTGCAGTATCTGGCTTAGAAAATGTTTCTCCCCAGCAAGTATCACTACGACTCCTCGGTATTATTATATACTTTCAAATGAACAATTCAATATATTAATTTACTTTATCATGTTTTACAATATAGAGATATTTATTTTTCGATATCAAATGAAATATTTACAATTGTCCGTAGATCTGTAAAGGCAACTCGTATCGTGACTGTAAATGTGTGTGTCATCGTGTTTCCAGTTTCGTCAGTAGCTGTATATGTTACCATAGTAACGCCTATTTGGAATGTATCTCCAGGTTGATGAGTTGATTCAAGCAAAGGTAATACTCCCGAATTGTCGGCCGGATATGGTGGGTCCCAATCAACGGTTACGTTTGAATGAATTGAGTCGATGAATACTTGAACATCATCGGTAAAATTAGTAAAATACGGGAAATCCACATCTGCATTAAACATAATAGGTGTTGTTGTTGGATGCTGTTATTCATTATTATTGTAAACATACAAAATCTGCAACCTCGACCGCTAACTAAGACTACAGTGACCTATATGATATAGATGCAAATTCAACTCCAGATACCTTCTGAATATTAATCGTGTTGAGGTTAAATTCGTATTTTAAACGACTCTGCCACGTATTATAGCCCTTCAAAGTCAAAGTAAAACTTTGTTCATCCTTCAACTGAATGTTCGCAATAAAACTTTTAAAAAACAATGTACAGTCAATGAAAAGTTTCTTTTTCAGTTGTATGACAAAAGAGTGTCACTGGTGGGATTTGAACCTGCAACCTCTCGCATATCAATCAATATAATAATATAACAAATTACCTACCATATACAGTGACTTTGAACCGACACAACTCGACATTGTTACTTTCATCAACTGCAGTATATGTTACAATGGTATCGTACAATGGAAATACATCACCGGGATCGGCGTCCGAGGTAACATGAGGAGGGATTCGAGAGTTATCGTAGGCTGTCGGTATTGTCCAAGTTACATTAGAATATGCTGATCCGGGAACGTTTGGTACCGCAATGTCCAAGGAACAATTTTCAAAGTAGGGTTTCTCAACATCTGTGTCATGGTTAAGAAAATAATGAACGCAGTTTATTAATCGAAAGTTCCACTGATTAATCTCAGATAATGAAGTGGAATACATACTCCAAGTATTGAAATGCACGCCATCGTGTTGGGATTCAATATATCGACATTAATTATGTCATCATCAGGAATGAATTCATCAGTTTATTAATGTTGACTGATAATGATGATGAATTATTGTGAAAAATATACTGATTCCAGAGTTTTGACAATTTTGTCCTAGGTATGATCGTCACAAATTTTAAAAGATGTTAGAAAAGTGATATTTTAACAAAATTATTAATATTTATGTCTATATCAATAAGCAAAAATTACATTTTTACCTATAACAGTTATAGTAAAATGGCAATGGTTAAAGTTCAAAGCTGTGTCTGTTGCATTGTAGACAACTGTTGTCACTCCGAGGTGGAACACATCCCCTGAATGGTAGTTCGATACAATTTCTAAAATACCAACATTGTCTGTGATATTTGGTGACGTCCATGTTACATTAACATAAGGAGACCGGTACCACGTCTCAATGGTTATATCGGCAGGGCAGTATATAACCTCTGGGAGTTCTTTGTCTAAAATAAATTTAAATATAATTTATGACATGTAACTTCTCGATCACATGGTACATAACGACAGTTATACAAACGTTAGAATAATAACGATACTGTAAAACCTCGAATTGAAGCCCAGTGGGCTTGATCTCGAGATGTAGCCCATCTTGAACTGAAGCCCCTTCTTTAATTTGCCTAAAAAAAGAAGCCCATTGGCTTCTTTTCAAGACAGCTTATAATTTTTTTGAGATAGTACATACACTGTACATGAATTTCAAAAAACTAAATAAATTGAAAACAAGGTTGGTTTATACAGTAGTTTTGGTAATTTAATGCCAATTAAAATACACTCCATGATACAGATTGATGTTACAGTGGCATTATTTATAGTACAAATTCACAACATTTACAGCATTCATTTCGAAAAAAAGCACCTCTCTTTAATTTGCAAAATTAGGCTCAAAAAGAAGCCCATCCAAAGTTCGTCAAAAAAAAAGAAGCCCAGTGCTTCAATTCTAGGATTTACGGTATTTGTATGGGAGTTATTGGTGTCCTAGAGTTATTTTGGTTTTCTGTTGATTTCCTGACAAAATATCAATATTACTTATGTTAAATCTTAAAGTTTAAAACACACTCTAAGTAATAATAATAATAATAATAATAATAATAATAATAATAATTGTCAACTTATATAATGTAAAATACCTCTATGCGCTTTACATCAGAGGGTGGGTTAAATTATTAAGTTTCACCTAAAAAATAATTAAATATATAAATATCAAATATATTTCATAGTCTGAAATAACTTTTAAGAATATGATGAAATATTAACATAAAACTTCAAAAACAGTGAAGCTCTGTCCAGATTATCAACATTTTCTAAATTCTTTTTATTAGCTAAGCAAAATATGAATATATTTTAC